TTACTAGCGTGGTGTACCTAATAAAGTGGCTGGTGAGTGTATATACACCATAACAAAACCAGTGATTTGTATACAAGGATGCTGAATAAATACTTGGCCCCTCTATGAATATTGTGGCCCCTTGATTGCCCCTTACTCAGAAAAATCCTAGATCCGCCACTGCTTTCACTGCTTTCACTGTCACGTGGGTCAGTAGTGTACATATCCATCAGTCACTGTGTGAGTGGCGGTGTACACCCTGGGCAGGTCACAGGTCCATCAATGAGACAGACAACCTTTCATTCTCTCACACCAAGGGACATTTAGCGTTACCAGTTGACGTAGCAGTCATGTTTTTGGTCTGTGGGAGGAAGCTGGAGTACCCGGAGAGAACCCACATATGCACAGAGAAAACATGTAAACCCTACCCAGAAAAGTCCCTGGCCGGGATTCGATCTAGCAACCCTCTTGCTGATAGGCAACATCTCTACCGAGCCACCATGCTGCTAGATTTCATTTAACCATGAAAATCCCATTGAGATCTCTTTTTCAACAGAAGCCTGATATGCATGTTTTTATACTATGGGAGGAAACCAGTAGCCTGACCACTGCCTTCCTATGCAATTTTGCTCGAGTCTATCCCGTCTCTGCTCTGTTTGGTTTTTCTCCCATTGACATGTATTTCTCTGTTAGAATTTCAACCGGGCCAATCAGCAAACAGAAGGAGGAGTTTTGAACGTCGAAGTTCTGCGCAGTGTCTGCTAGTTATTTTAGCATACGGCAGTGGAGGAAGAGAATGAAGCCAGTCTGTGTTGATAAGGCTTCCAAATTAAAATAAATTTGTCTGACAAAGCAGCAGCTCTCATTTACAGTCGTCTCGTTCGGCTRHGTATATTTCTCCTCTCAGTAGGGTTGTTTACAGCACACGCGATTTCCGGTTAGCTTCTTAGCTTAGCCTTCTTCACAGCGACAACACACACATGCTTCAGCAGAGGCCACGCATCCTGGAAGAAACAATTCTCTATGCATCAAGTCCAGACCCTTGTACGAAGCAAAGTGAAGGACAGGGTCTGGTTCTAACCAGGCTAATTTGTCCCCAACCCTGTTTGTGATTATACTCTTGATGTACTGGCCCATCCAAGTTCCATCCCTCCCCTATGAGTATCAGGACAATAACCACCCACCCCCAACAGCTTGTACTGTCAACCAAGGGTTTCAAAATGATCATTTAAATACGATGATAGATGTTAAGATATGATAAAGCTTTGTTGAAATAAAGACTATTCAGAGTTTACTAATAATAGTCTAATAATAAGTAAGAAATATAGACTGGAGCAATACAGCACAGTGCCACATGGTAGAGCTGTTGCAGCTACTTCTGGCTGACTGAGAGCATTTAAACTTTGAATACAAATTATCACTTACCCCCAGGACACTTACCCCCTCCCCCATCAGTTAGTACTGTGAACCAAGAGTTCCAGCCCTGATATCAGTGAGAAAATAGACATTTGATTTCATGAAGATGTACTGTATTTTTTGATCAAATCAGTATTTTTATTGTTACTGCTCAAAAAGTGGCTTCAATAATTTTATTTAGAGTAACATTTTTCCTGGCCTTCTAATCAGAACATAAACACATTTCAGGTTGTAATATAATTAATATGTTCATGATGGTCTTATATTTATGTGACGGCCCTGCTGCTTAGTTAATTGCAGCCAGCTGCCACCAGTTTCCTTAATTGTGCTTCCTCACAGGTCTTAGGGGGCGTGGCCTGTGCTCCTTTTAAGCGCACACCTGGGAGCTGCACCGGCAGAGCTGAATGTGGAGCTGCACACAGAGCTGCATGCAGAGCTGCACGGAGAGCTGAATGTGGAGCTGCACACAGAGCTGAATGTGGAGCTGCACACAGAGCTGCATGCAGAGCTGCACGGAGAGCTGTGCTGAGC